AAGCCTGTCTTTTGCGAGGATTAAACATACGTTTGATCCATCCCCCATTCCCTCTCCCCCAGTCGTGGTAACTGAACATAATGTGTTGATCTGATGGGAAGCATCAGCCGATGGATATGAAAAAATAAAACTAAAAAAAGGAATATATATATTTATATATTTTTATATATATATATCTATGCTCCCATAGATCAAGTGTGACTCTTTTTGTTTACCAAACTGACGATGAAGCTTGCTCTTTGAACAGAATGGCAAAGTTCAAAACGGGCTGCAAATGTTTCAATGTAGCATCGTTAGGTAGTGATGGTCAAAGGCACAAAGGGTTCATTGCATTCAACCAAGCAGCACAAAGAAGAAAAAAAAATACCAAAAATAAAAAAAAGTGGAAAAAAAAAAAACGGGGAAAAAAAACATTTACTGTTCTAAATATATTCCTCAAAACCCAGGTGGCCTATTTCCATCACTTCCTTGTGTTGTGTTCCCAGAAAAAGTACCGTCAAACTTTTTTTTCATCCCATAGTAAAAGAAAAATAAACGGCATTGCTGTTATCTGTATGGTGGCGTTTTTTCAGTATCTATTTTTGAACATTCACTGAATTTTCTAGCAAAATGATGGTGTGGAAGGCCTCAGGAAAAACCAAGGCAACTGCCCATCTTTTACTCCCATCAGCCATCAGCTAGCAGATGCCATCTCCGACCAAATATACTTTTGTAGCACCCCTAGCTGGTAGCTGATATTTTATCTTTTATTAAAAAAATAAAATGCTCAAGAACTATTAGCTTTATAAAGTATACAAAATACCAAAAAAATTTAAAATAAAAATAAAAAAGCAAAAAAAGGAACAATTTCTCATTGAGGTACTAAATGCCTGAGGTAGTTTAGTAAAATGCATATTCATCTTTTTATGCCCTGGCCAACACCATTCTACACTTCCCTTAGGTTATTCATGGCAGTGTTAAGTAAAAATGCAACCAAATTAAAAAAATGCCACTTTGTTCAACACTGGGACTAATACTTAATCCTCTCAATACCCTTCAACGCTAACCCAGCCAATAATCCCACAACGCTAACCCAGCCAATAATCCCACAACGCTAACCCAGCCAATAATCCCACAACGCTAACCCAGCCAATAATCCCACCCTCTAATAGTTTCTTTTTTTTTTTCTTTTTTTTTTAATACAACTGGACGTATAAAGAGCAATGCCTTTTCTTTTTGAACCAGAGAACTCATAAGAGAAAGCTTCATTAAACAAAGTTCTAAAATTGTTGGGGGAATAAGAACAATAAAAAAAGACTAACAAGGTTTATGTTAACTTGTGAGAATAGATCAAAAGGGAAGTGAAGGGGTCCTTTTTTTTTTCGCTTTTCTTTTTCCATTTTTTTTTCTTTTTTGTTTTTAAAGCTGGGTTTCAAAAGTTTGAGAGCCTAAATAATACATTCTCAGAGACAGTTTTAATGTTGCCTGGTCCTCAAACAGGTGACACGCTATATGGTATTTTGTAACCACTTAGCATTGACAGGTGTGGGATGCCTGTCAATTACGCAGACTGTCTTTGGTCTGGCATCTGTCTCTGTGAAGGGTCATTCTCCTGAACCTTTATTTTCGTCTCGGTTGGGGCTGTCCACTTTGCGCTGTCTTCTGCTGTTGCTGCTGCTGTCTTCTTACCTGAGCCAGTATTTCCTGAATTTTCCTCTGTGCAAGCTAAAATATAAAAATACAAGGACATACTGTTAATTCACTTGAATGCCCATTAAGGAGTTCCACTTTAAGGCCCCATTCACACTGAGCGATTTCGCTCATATTTCCATGCGATATCGCTCTATGTAGCTTCTCCAATCCATTTCAATGGAGCGGTTCACATCTCGCCACTCAATATCGCTTGTAGCTCGTCGCTCCTACATGACCCTTTTTTCTGCGGATTTCGAGCGATTTTGCTCCTGATTGCATAGTGTGAATGGGGCCTTAACAGAAGCCCTCTCCCCTCAATTCAGATGACACCAGTAGCAATGCATGGGTGAGAGCTGCTATTCTAGCCCATGCTTCCGATTCAGACAATTTTCCAACCTGCCTATACAGACCCCCTTCACCTTCACAAGCAGATTGTATTTTTAAAATGCGAGCATTAGTACCTAAAATTGGCTTGGTATCAGCCTCTTGCAATGACGTCAGCATGCAACCCGTGTGGAGAGAGACTCGAAACATAGTTTTAACATACTATGCGTTGAGGCTCTATTTGTTTCATTTGAACATATTGGAGAAATTGATTGAGATACCTTGATGAGGTGTGGGAGGTTATACCCTGGATTGGGTTCTGGTTTCACTCACTGAAGTGAAAGGAGAGGAAATCAGGAGGTTTTTGCACTGAAACGCTATAAGACTGTCCTGAAAGGGGGTCTTTGGATCTGGCAAGTGCGGATCCTGCTTAATCTATTTCACTGGGTGGAAAATAGCACTAGATGTGGCACGGAAGATCTATAGATTTTCGGTTTCATTAACCACAGTTGCAGATTGGAGTGGTTAAAACGGAAACTTTTTTGCACATGTCACTGATCTATGAGAAAAATGTTTGCACAAGTCCCTATTAACACTATGTAGTGGATGTTTATTTGTATTTTATGTAATTTATATTTGAGCAATTTTATTAGTGCCCCTATCACATTGTGTTTTGTACTTTATTTTATTGGATGTGGGTTATTTTATGGATATATTTTAACCTGTTTAGCGCAGTGCCCAATTTAAGATTTTATAAGTGTTACACACGTTTTTTTTTTAGCACAGCAGCTCACGAGGTTTGTTGAACATCCGAAACACAGATCATACTTTTGACACCTGATCTTCCGTTTACTTGTTCTCCAAGTTCTACCAGGTGGGCATTTCAGCCTCATATGTCAGATTCTGACAGAAGGTCCTTCAGGCAGTTCTCAGTTATGCTTTTAGGCTTGTTAGCATTCATTTGCTGTGCTGCCCACCACTCACTTGGACTGCTTTCGGATGTCATTAAGGTTTAGCAGTTGCTGTGTCTCTCAATGAATGAGAAAGAAAATAGGGTTTTGGAAATCACCGGCAAATTCTTTCCTCCCAGTTCATTAGGTACACAGGCCCCACCCATTATGATCATGCTCTCGGTACTGCATTACTACAAAACTGTGGCATGCTTGTAGTAGAAGGGGTTATCCTGAGCTGAACTACAGTTTTTTCTTCCAGTGACCCTCAATAGACTTAAGGAAAAGGATTTATGGAGAATACTAAAAACCTGTTTGCTCTATTTAGCCGTGTGCCTGGATCCAGTTTAAAAGCAAGAAGAATCTTCTCTCACTACAGTTTCTTTATAGATCAGCTATTAATATCAGCTAATACATCAGCTTAGATGTGACTGTGTATGCACAATAGCACTGCATTTATATACGCGGAGGATAAAAGGAAAAACGATTCAGGGAGTGTATGTGTAAACCTTTAAGCCGGTTCACACCATATCCAGTGCGTTCCTGCATGGTTCGTATCCAGAACACACTGGATTGCATAAAACAAGCCTTCCGCGTCCTGGGGGGAGGGGGCGTGGTGGTGCCATTCATGTAAATGGCACTGCAGACACCCCTCCCGCCCACACTAGAATGTGTAGTACAGCAATATCTGCATTCCGAAGCAGTGCAATCTCAAAAAATAGTGCATTCCCACCAGAATGTGGGCATTGCTGTACCACGCGTTCTGGTGATCATACTGCGGACGGAAAGAGTGTCTGTGGTGCCATTAACATGAATAGAACCACCACGCCCGAACCATCCCGGAACGCAGGAGGCTTGTTTTTTGCGATCCAGTGCGTTCCTGGCACGAACCATGCCAGAACGCACTGGATATGGTGTGGCATCAGGTGAATTCTGACAGGTTTAGTATTGGTCATTTAGCACTGTATTATACAAGGCAATTTAAGTTTATATTGTAATTTCGCATGACTTACATATTCACTTACTTTCTGTATCAAATTTTCACACTATTTCAGAAATATGTCTCAATCCTCAAAGAAGCCACTAGGGGGAGCCACCAGAATACATATTTTATGAATTAAATGCTGCCCTTTGGTGACGATAATGGCACTTTGGAATTGAAAAGGAAAAGCAGTGCTCAGGTTTAAATAAGAGCATGAAAATAAAACTAAACCCATGTATAATTGCTGGAATAGTCATGTGCTATACTCATACCTGGCTTGCATAAAAGTGACCTGTTATTTTAACAACCACTTGATCATTTTCATCTGGGGTTTGATCGCGGGGCACAACAACCTCTGCACTTGTAAGATTCTGAAGCTCATTGACCTGCAAAAAGATTACAAACAACTGTCACAACAATCTTGAACGAAAGCGGATTTTTGGAAAAGACAAATTCTTTTAGTGCAGTCATTCATGACTTTCTCTCATTTTTATGAAGCCCATTCCAGCAAAGCTTCTTTGCAGCACATCTCCAGGATTTTTAAAAAAGTTAACCTTTGCAGTGGAGCTACCCCCAAACTGCAAGGGTTAACTACACATTTTGGTCAAGGGAACGGAAAAGGAGATAATTGCACGATCTTGCAGTAGTGACCACTCACCTCTGTCCCCATACACTCCAGCTGGTATGTCCCTCAACATCCTCACTTCTAATGCAAGTGACTGGACCTTGCATAGATGTGATGACATCAACGGGGCTTAGACCGCTGCAGCCCAGGGGAGAAGAGGCTGCAGGGACTGGGTCTGAAAGCCAGACGGGATGGAGGATATGGTAAGTATACTTTCTTTATTTGCGCCCCTAGTCTAAAACGTGCCATTAACCCTTGCAATGTGGGCGTAGCCCCACAGTAAGGGTTAACTTTTGAGAATCCTGGAGTTCATCTCAGCTATAAAAAAAAAAAACAACAAAAAAAAACACACAAACACCTCGAGCTACTGTGGTCTCTCCACCTCAGGCATAAAAAAAAAAGGCATCTTTCAGTAAAAACATTCAAAAACACTTACAGTTGGCCTACCCCCCACAGTGCTAGGTTTACCTGCTCATTAATGCATTTACTTATCCCAATTCCCCGATCCTCAACAGCTGGTTACTTGAAGGATTTAGCTTTGTCCTCTTATTTAGCTTTACTTAATCAATGTCTGACACTTTAGCTTTTGTGTCAAGTTGAAACGCTGTTTGATGATAACTGGTGTAAAGTGTTTGAACTCGCACCCTGTTTCTCACCTGCTGAGTGTATGTAACAGAACAAGGGGTGTACTGCATGTCAGAAACCGCTAGGAGGTTCTGTCATTCTCTGCTATGACAAGAAATAGAAGACACCTTTTTTTAAAGTTCAGCAGGTTTTTGCTGGAGAAAAATGGGGTTGTGCACCTCTGTGCCCACTGGCTGCTGCCCAATCTTTCTTGCAACGTTTCATTACAACTGCCTCCAGTGACATTTGGGATATAATTTACTACATCAGCTTCTCTAGCCGGTATGCTGGAACTAAACATTTTACAGCAGCAAAATGTGTGACCACAGTACTGCCTAAACTTCACCTATGGAGCCAAACACAGCTTCCATGAGAAGTGGAATACTGCTAAAAGATATTCTCATTACAACTAGCATGTGTATTGAACACCATTTCTATGGCATTAGTGTAAATGTTTTTTTATAATATATTATTTCAAAATTAGGCAAAGTTACAATTCTGCTGCACAGATCATTATTCCAAACATTCCATGGTCCAACAGCCATTTGCCCACTGGGTCTATTACTTATGCAACGTACAGTTTTGCCTCCTTTGCCAATAACACGTCCAGCGGCATATGATGGCACTTTAATATGAGCCTCGAGTTTTACTTCTTCCTTGGGTCCAAAGAAGTTTTCTTCTTTAAGTTTACCGTAGATTCTTCCTTGAGCCTGCAGACAAAAGTACAAAGGTTAGTAAAACATTTAACTCACCGCACAGGCTGTAAACGCAAACATGTATACAGGGCACTCATGCATATTTGTTTTCAAGTTATTGGGAATGGTTTTAGCTACACATGAGTAATGCAGAATTCATAAGCCACTCGGCCCAGTCTAGGAGAAAAAGGAACATCTGCGGCCAAAAAAACAGCTTTCAGTGAGGTGTCCGTTTAGGTGTACTGGCTGCCTGGTTCCTGGCAGCTATCCAGGCCTGGTTTCATCTACCAAGTTTGCTTACCAAATTTTCACTCCAAAATGATAACATTGTCTATTATGTATGAAATCTCTTTAAAAAGTTTTCTAGGCTTTTGTGCTACTTTGTTAAAATAAAAACAAACATTATTTCCTGTTCTGGGTCCAGGATATTGAATGTGAAAAGAGAATTTGCTTCCGATACAAAGTGCAAAAGACCTCTCTTCAGTTGGTATTTGTCCAATGCTTGTGATGTCAAAGTATTTTTAATCTGGGATTTTCAGATCATGTGACTGTCTAGACTCAAAGCTGGTTACCATTCAGTGTTGCCACACGTAAAGGCAAGAGACTCAAAAGGGGCAATTCTACATTTAAAAGGAAATTTCCTTCTCACGGACAATGAAAGTGCAGCAATCTGAAGACATGATTTTGTACTGCAATGCTACCTTATTCTTTACAGGTACAATGAATGATTACCTTAACATACCATGTGTCCTCCAAGGTAAATAGCTATTAAAGCAGAAGGTAATGATAAATGTATCACCACTTTTTTTATCAGTCCAAAAACAGGGTTTCTAAGTTCACTAAAGGACACAGCAATTAGTTTTGACTGGGTTATACTGCTGCCTAAAAGGAAGATTAGGACAGTGGCAAACGAGAACAATAAACTTACAACCAAGTATAAACCTAAGCAGTACTTAGGTTCCACCCCTTTGTTTGTGATCTACTCCTGTGTCCCTAATGAATTTCAAGAAAAGGATCGGTCATTAAGGGATGTGGCATTCAGATATTCTGATACAACCGACATGTCCAAAGGCAGTCCAATGGAGGGGTGGGCAACACCGCAAATAAAACGCTCACAGGCCCACATAAAATACAGTATAAAGCTGGGGGCAGCCTGCAGCTCAAAGAGTTGCCTAAGCACTGTAGTCAAAGTTTCCAGTTTTGGACAGCATGGGGAAAGGACCAGTCACTTACTTTTTTTTTTTAATTACTACTTCTGCAGCCTGTGGAGAGATTTTTTCCTCACTTCCTGTGAGGTCAGAGACAGTAAAATCCCCCCACCCCAAGTACAATGGTTAAATAGTAAAACAGTCAGGTTTTTATTGCCTTCTGTGTTCCCATTGCATATGACAATAGTTATTTCTAAATGATCTATTGTTCATCTCACCTTACTATCATTAATGCATATATGAAAACTTACTTTAAATTGGGCTTCTGGTGGTCCAGTGATGATCACCATCCTCAGTTTGGCCTCTGGCCCCTCTGCTGGAGCAATCTACAGTTGTGAAAAGAAAAATTAGAAATACAGCCACACATTTTAGAATGCATACAGACATAAGTTAAAAATTAAATTACCTTGATAGAAGCTCCAGCAAAACGTGAAAGTTGTTTGATGTGTTGTCCTTGTTTGCCAATAATGGCACCAACAGCTAATGCTGGGATGAATAGATGAACGGTTTCAGATTCCGGTTGTTGCTGCAGAGAACAGCCAAAAACATTTATGAATCTATATAGTTATACGTTTCTGGGAATAGTCTTTTCTACCTAAATGTACAAATATTCTGAACTCAGCATTTTTTTTTACAGGGAACCTTGGCTGCAGTGATACCAGAACTGGACAAAAGTCTTGGGTTAGCCAAACATAGCCCAGTAATGTGCTAGCAATGTAAGAAACTCAGGCACCGCTTGTGATTAAGGGCTTGTTCACACCGTCCCTTAAATGCATTGGTGTGATGTGGTGTCATTTATTCTAAATTGAAAAAAAACTAAGACCATCCTACTCCTATTTATTAAAGTGGGTGCAAGCGATCTGCTCAGTTTTCTATGCCATGTCTGGCGCAGACCTGTTTGCTCTACCTTCCTTTGCCAGCCCAACTGAGAGCAAGGAGGCTGAAAAAGGTAATATGGAGCTGGTCACCCATACCAGTTTCCTGTGCCATGATAACGCAGGAAGCTTTGTTAATTCCCCTCAACTAAATTTTTCAACTGGTTTCTATATTAGCTTTACTGTTTGAATAAAACCTATAACAAATAAACACTTAACCCAGGATGCAATAATGACACCAATGACACAAAGAATCAATTGGTCTTCCCACACTGTGCAAACTCCAGAATAGTCCTCTCTAAATGATTCCGATGGAGGGACTCTTCCATCATCCTTCATACAGAGCTTTTTTTTGTTAAACAGGTAAATTTAGACATCAAAAATATGCGTGTGTATGTATATACAATCCTTACAGAAAATGGAGGATAAGCAGCAGAGCTGGTCGGTGAAGACACTCCGACAGATGGAGGTGGCATGCCTGAAGAGGAAGGCGGGAAGAGACCCAATGCATTCAGGTTTAATCCAGGGATCAAGTGAGCTTGTAGCTGTAGGGTGGAAAACAGCAAAAATTACTTAAACAGAAAATATACACTTTACACCACGACACAGCACAAAACAAATAAATCAAGGACATCAGCTAATGATCTAGTCAGCCTAGAAAAGACAGCTGTGCATGCGACATTCACTGCCAAGTGCATTACAGAACCTCTGCTAACAAATGTACTCTTATCTCATGGGCCAAATTCTGCTGACTACACGTTTCTCATGCATCCAAAGGGTGCATCTCAAAGCTATGCCCATCCTTTTGAACCATAAACAAACTGTTATTTCACTGAACATTATTGATGTATGCTATAAATCTAGAAGAGCTACTGCTCATGCAAATAAGGTAGCAACCATTATATAGGGGCAAGGTTTAGTAGCAAGAACTAATCTAGTCGATATGGGCAACAGTGCTTGGCATATGTTCCAGTTATTGCACCGATTTAAAAAAGGGAATGATTGAGGAATAGCAGGGGGACAACTAAGTTACATTTAACCCCTTCATGACTGAGGCCTTTTTTTCATTTTTTGCACCTATGTTATATTCCACATTTTAGGCCTGAAAATTACTTAAAACCCCCACACATTATATATTTTCTGAATGCCAAGACCCTATACAATATAATGGTGGTAGTTGCAAATTTTTATGTTGCGCAATATTAGCGCAACTCCTTATTAAACCCCAAAATTTAGTGATAAATTTAATTAAATGCCTCAAAACACAACAAAATACCAATTTTTAAAATTAAATATAAAAGATGAGGTTACAACGAGTAAATCGATACCAAACATGCCCAGTTTACAAATTGCGTGAGTCCGTGAAATGGCGAAAAACTGCAGTACCCCAAAAAGTCCACAGAAGACGCTTTAAAAGCCCCCACAGGTCATCAATTTAGGGATACCCCAAAATACTGGCTCTAGAATTATTGCTCTCACTCCGGCGTGTGCGGCGATACCCAACATGTGTAGCGCGTTCGTCGTTTTCATACGTAGGCGCACCCGACGCGTGTTTACGTGGCGGCGCGCGTGCTCGCGGGGGACTTTAAATTTTTTCATTATTAGATTTATTTGATTTGATTTTAAAAACGTTTTTTTTTTACTTTACTTTGACTGCTACCCCATGTGATAGCAGATGGTGGCGACAGGTACTCTTTTAAAAGGTGATGCTGGGGGTCCAAAAGACCCCCAGTGTCACCTTTACACTGGAAATAAGCTATTGAAGTGCAGATCGCACTTCAATAGCTTATAGCTGGGCTCTGGGAGCCCAGAACTGACAGCCCAGGGACCGGAAGTGATGCAATCTGCATCGCTCCCGGTCCCATAGAACGTGGAGGGGATCGATGAACGGAAGTTCGTCGACCTCCTCCCCAGCTCCCCGCGGCACAGAAGCGATCTGGCGACAGGTAAGTCGCCAGAATCGCTTCTGTTGTAAAGCCGACAGTCGGCTCTACAAGTTTAAACAGAGTCCCGGCGGCAAAAGCCTAATTGATCGAAGCCTGGAAGATGACTTGTCTGTTGCCATAACAGCCGGACTCTAATTTTCCTGGAGGCAGTTTTTAAGTGAATTAAAAAAAAAAAAAAAAGGACACATCCCTGTTATGGACAATGTACAAAAATCCTTTGGATATATTTTTGAGACTGAAAGTGTTAGAAGACCCGTCCAGCCACCAAATGTGTAACTCATGCGGCCTGGATGTTAAACAGTTAAAAATTGGATGTATCCAGGTACATGGTAAGGTTTTTGTCCTAGGTGACCACCAATCAAGGCATGATGATGCATTGTGAATAAAACCTAGCCCTTACTAGTACTGGATTAAATACTCCAATTCCTGGAACTGTGATGTTTAATCATCAAGCAAGGTCTGCTCATTACATTAGACCTGCCTCTCCTTTACCAACTTCAGAATGATGGTAGTAGAAAAAAAAACAAAAAACACCACTGGGGGAAAAATTTTGGTAAATATACCTTACCTCCAGCTTCCACACTTTAGGGGGTGATGCCACTAGACTTCCGGTACGATCCTGGGGCATGCAAAGTATCCCAATTCTCAAGACATGGCACAGTATAGAAGCATCTCATGAAATTTGAGACCCCGATTGTTCCTAGGGTCTCACCAAAAGGATGGTGATGTCACCATCATCTATGCACTGCAGGCAGAAGTCGGGGGTAAGGTAGTATTTTTGCCCCACAGGTGAGTTTTTTTTACTACCATCATACAGCCATTTGTAAGGGAAGGCCCTGTCCTTTAACAAAAGGGTAAAGGCAGCACCTGTTAGCAACTTATTAGACCACAGTTTACCGATGCATTAAAAGAGGGCGTTTGTTAATTGGAACTTACTGCACTTTGTGTCGCCTTATTAAATAAGGCAATGTCAGATCTCCTTAGTTAGACAAGTGATTCTCCTTAATTGTGACAATTTCTTTCCAGTCATTCTTTTTGCCACATACATTTAAAGGACTCAAAATGCAAAATTGTAAAGAGAAGTTGTTCAGTTTCTGCCATGCAAGCACTGCTAGCAATTAGTTTTCAAAAGCATGCACTTTCTTGGCTTTGTTGCATTAAAAAGCAAAATAAATAAAATAAAGGGAGCGTCTATATCATAGGCCAGCAGTCACATGAATTCTTAAACAAAGGGCTCAATGTAAATCCTACAGATGGCTATATTTAATTGACTGAGCATGCAACACTGCCAAGCACTTTGGTTTAAAAAGCATGAGCCAGAAGGTTAAAATTAGTTAATGTAAAAAAAAACAAAACAAAACACGATATATACACCTACAGTATATTACTGCCCCTTTTCACCAAGGTTTAAGCATAGTAGGGAGACACAAAGAGTTAAAAAGCACTGCCCTAAGATTAACGCTCTAGAAAGTCCTCGAGAATCTGCGGCATCATTCCATTCAGGTTGGGTCATTTCCGCTCCAGCTTCATGCTAAACTCTGTACAATGTTATAGGAATACATTTCCACCTCCCACCCAGAACGTGCTGAACAATCACTTACATTCATAGCTGCAATATCATTTTCGTAGGACTCCCTGATTTTTTTCATTATTTCTTCCTCGGCTTTGGCACATGCCTCAATGCTGCCTTTTACTGTAATAGTCCGCTCAGGATTATATAGTGTCAAGTCCTGCAGTCTAGGGCCATCAAAAACAAAAAGGTTAAGAATCTGACACAGCTAACACCGAGCACAAAGTGATGGACAAGGCCTGTCGAACTTACGGAGAAATTGTGATTTTTGTATCGGTGTCCTGCTCAATTTTCTTCAGGTTTCTTCCTTCTTTGCCGATGAGACGGCCAACGAAATTGTTATGTGCTAGAATCTTTAGGGGGATCTCTTCAGTGCTAGAAACACAAGATTCCCAAAGTTAAGAGACCCTGTAGCCTTAAACATGAAAGCATACAGTACCAGTAACAAGTGCCTGACTGTCAAATTGCCTGACTTTTAATACTACAAGTTGCTGACAAAAAAACATGTGTGGATAGGTACCTTTGATTTTCTGACCTACATACACATTCAGGCAAATGAACAACATTTTAAGAAGTAGAACAAATCCTACCTCCCAACTCCCCCTTCATTTGGAACCAAATTCCTCTGTCCCTCGTTGTTCCTCTTTGCGGTCTGATGTACAGATATCTATGAATGTTCTAATCTAAACTGCCAAAGTGTTATTTTGCACTAAAGCCTTTATCTTATATGTTAATGATCTTGTGTGCTATTTCGTAAAGCTAGTTTAAAAAAAAA